AAAAAAAAAAAAAAAATTTGCCTATAGACATGCAAATTCTATCTTGTCTGGTAAAGGTGCAACTGATTTTCCTTTCTCTCGTTGCAAGCAATCAGTTTTGCCTCCTTCGTACACTCATTTCATTATTCCTGGCCTTTCCTGGGTGTGTTCTTCAGATTTTCTTTACACTTGTTGTAACATCTGCCTGATTCCCTTAGTGATTACTGAGTTAAATAAAATGTTTAGCATGTGTCCGTTTTATATCTGAATGAGAGTTGTGATCTTATCTTTTCGGAAAATTTCTCTTTAACACACCAATGGCGAGTACTTTCCTTTTCCATTCTTTGGCCGTCTCCTACTGGTGCTCTTTGCTTTGGTTGAACATTCGGTGGTTTCCTCAGAAAAGGGTTCCTGCCCTTGTAACCTTCCACCATATGCATAATGTCTGTCCAAGGGTTCCTGGAAGAAGGCAGAATAACCAGAAGATTTTATACTTCTAAGTCTAAAGAAAGGTCAGAACATTGGTTCCGAATCTTTTCTACAAAAACGAAAAGAACACACATGAAACTAAAATTAAATAAACCCATCAGTTTCTCATTGGGCTCTAACTCAGCTACCTTACTTACTCCTTCCTTACTCGTGTAGTTGATTGATTTATCAAAAATTACACACAGCTGGAAACTTTTATTTTTAATGCATCTTATGCCATCTTGTACCTTATGCAAGACGTTATAGAAGGGGCGCCTGGGTGGCTCAGTTGGTTAGGCAACTGCCTTTGGCTCGGGTCATGATCCTGGAGTCCCGGGATCGAGTCCCGCATCGGTCTCCCTGCTCAGCGGGGAGTCTGCTTCTCCCTCTGACCCTCCCCCCTCTCATGTGCTCTCTCTCTCATTCTCTCTTTCAAATAAATAAATAAAATCTTTAAAAAAAAAAAAAGACGTTATGGAAGATACAAGGTCCCTGTCATCCTTCTCAGAACACAGATTCATCTATAAGAACTAATGTTATTTATCCAACAATTATTGAGCACCTTCTATGTGCCATGCATAATGGCAAAAACATCATTCCAGGGAGTTGACAGGCTAGAAAAACAGACAATACAAATAAATGTAAATTTTCAAATATTGGGACCAACAGATAAACTGCATGTTTTGAACCAAAACTGCAATAAATTTGCAATTCAAAAAAGTTCCCTAGTCAGAGAAAGGAGAGGCCAAGATGAGCTAGAGTCATGGAAGGTACAATAGTTATCTTTTGCTGAGTAACAAATCCAATCCCTCTCCACACTCCCATCCCCCCACCCCCCGCCAACTCAGAGGCATAAGACAACTATTTACTATGCTCGTGGATTCTGTGGGTCAGGAATTTGGAAAGGCCCAGTGGAGATGGCTTGTCTCTCCTTCACAACAGTAGGAACTGAGCAGGAAATCCAAAGACTGGAGGTGATTCAGAGGCTAGGGTTGGAATCACTGAGCGCTCATTCACCAACCTCTGGCAGGTGACATGGGCTGTCAGCTGGGACTGCAGCTGGGGCTAACAGCCAGAACACCCACACATGGCTTTTTCATGTAGCCTGGGATTCCTCACATTACTGTGACTGTGGTCCAAGAGGGGACATTCTCAAAGAGCCAGGGGAAAGCTGCATGGCTTTTTATGACAGGCCCTACAAGCCATTTTGTCCCCTTTGGCACATTCTATTCAGGGCTAGCTTCACAAGACATGACCTGTGCAGTCACTCAGGACTCCACACTTAGAACAGCCCTACACTTGGTTTAATGCTCTGCTGTCACCATATTGAAATTCCTAATAATATTTACACAAAGGGCCCCATATTTTTATTTTGCACTGGACCCCACAAATTATGTAGCCAGCCCTGAATCTCTTCATCCAGGCAATCGCAAAGGCCTGCCTAGGCTCCCAGGGTGGGGATACAGACTTTCCATCTTGATGGGGCAGTGGCACGGTTCTGGAAGAGTATGTGGGACTGGAAATATTGTTGAGACCTTTTTTAGAAAAGGCAATCTGCCATGGACAGTTTGTGAAGTTAAGGAAAGACTTTCCTCCACAGCCTCCCACAAAGATATATCCAGGTCATCCTTGTTCCACAAAGCATCCTAAATGGAGTAAAAAAGCAGAATGTATCTGTCCATCCTTCCATTCAGCAAATACTGACTGAGCACAGAATGGGGAGTGTTTACAGATGACTTTTAGAGACCCTGCCTTCCATGGACTTGGGTGTTCAGAGTGATGGGGTCTGTGAAGGGAAAAGAGAAAGCAAAGGGTGAAGCACTGTTAAAAAAGAGAAAACAATGGGGCACCTGGGTGGCTCAGTCAGTTAAGCGTCTGCTTTCAGCTCAGGTCATGATCCAGGGGTCCTGTGATAGAGCCCCACATCAGGCTCCTTGCTCAGCAGGAAGCCTGCTTCTCTCTCTCCCTCTGTAGCTCCCCCTGCTTGTGTGTGCTCTCCCTCTCTCTATCAAATAAATAAATAAAATCTTTTAAAAAAAAGCCCAAAATGGAGACATTTGCCCCCCCCCCACAACAGAAAACCAGTAAGTAGTAGATCAAGGTAAAGATACAAAAAAAAACAACAACAAGGGACACAAAAAGGTCAGGTGGTAAGGGCGTTGGTTTATTCAAAAAGAGTGTTCCAGGGGCCCAGAGGGAAGGTCTGAGAGGCAGCATTTTGCGACCTCACTAACCATACTGTGTCTGCCTCCTGGACGGCCACAGCTGTCCCAGGCTCAGAACAGGGTGCTGCTCACATAAATATTTGTGGGAGGCCCTAGGATTTGGCCCACAGTGCTTCTGCAGAATGACGTCTGGCAGGTAGGCCTGGTGACTTCACCCTCCTGGTTTCCTCCTACCTCACTCATCACTTCTTCTTAATCCTTTAGCTCTAAAGGTTAGATTTCCCTGGGGCTCTGCCCAACGTCTTCCTCAGCATTCTAACTTCCTTCCTCCTTAGGGGAGCCCTTTTATTCCCACAGAGCATCTTTGCGCCCCACCCCCACTCATTCATCTATCCCTTTGCAACTGGACATCTAACTACACTTGGATGAATCATAGCCACCTCAAATTTAGCATGTCCAAAATAGAACTCTCCACTTTTCCCCACACCCCGTTCCCTCCAGTCTTCCCATTTCAGTAAGCGGTTGCCTCCACCACCCTCACTCCCCCACATCCAATCCATCCTTTAAGTTCTTCCTCCAAACCACAACCCGGATCCACCCACTTCTCACCAGCAACTGAGCCACTATGTCCCCTCACTCGGGTTGCTTTGGCAACTTCCTAATTTATCTCTTGCCTCTACCCTTGGCTCCTTGTCATCCACCCTCTACAGAAAAGCCAGAGTGGTTTTTTCAAACCATAAATCAGGGGCGCCTGGGTGGCTCAGTCGTTAAGTGTCTGACTCTTGATTTCGGCTCAGGTCATGATCTCAGGGTCATGAGATCAAGCCCCTTCGGGCTCCATGCTGGGTGTGGAGCCTCTTTTAAGGCTCTCTCTCCCCCTCTGCCCCTCCCCTGCCTCTCTCTCTCTCTCAAAAAAAAAAAAAGTAATAATAAAAAAAACCCCGTAAATCAGAGAAACTCGTTCTCTTGCTCAAAACCCTTCAATGTTTTCCCATCACTTTCAGAATGAAAACAACTCTTCACGATGGAGACCCTAGCCACCTGCCTGCTCCACCTCACGGTCTCATCCTATCCCCACTCATTCCCCTGGAACTTTCTGTTTCAGCTCTCTGCATTACCCAGCTTCTCTTTCCAGAACATTCTCTCAGCTATCCCCAAAGCTGCCTTCCAGGACTCAACTCAAATGTTCCTTCTCAGATCTGCAGAAAGAAACCTGCCCTCCTCAATTTTACCCATTGCCTCTTTCTTCGTTTAGTGCCCTCTCTTCCCACACACGCCAAAAGGGAAACGCCACGCAATGAGAGTTCACCATTGTCTCTCCAAGGACTGCTAGGGTAGGTGCTCACGTATATTTCTCTAAAGGATGAATTAACAGACGGCAGTTTTATATGTTTTTAAATATCCTTACTTGGCAAAAGGAAAAGATGCCTATTCTGTGTGGGTTAGTCATTTTTAAAATAAAGTTGGTAAGTCCAGGACCGTTGCAGTAGATGAACTGGCCTCAAGCCCCCTGAACAACACAGTTGGAAAGTATAGCGGGAGACGGAGGAAGGGAGGGCGGGCCAGTGGAGGGGGAGACGACTGGGCGACTGGAGGGGCAGGAAAAATGGTTGGGCGACTGGATGAGCACGCGACGGGAATGCACACCCAAGGGGCTGGTAAAGTCCAGAGCTCGCTTCCCTATTCGACCCACCTTCCGGGGTCACGGAAAAGACGCTCCAGGGAAGACCAGGCGCGGCGGGCGACCGGGTAACCTCTCCGCGGGGCGCAGAGCAGCTAACCACTCGCCTCCCCAGCGCCCGACCCCGCACACACTCCCCGCACGCCTGCACGCCGGCCACGCACAGCCGCGCCCCCTGCCGGCGCGCGCGCTCAGGTGAGCGCTCTCCGAGCCCGCCGTGCGGCTAGTGCGCGTGCGCGCAGGTGAGGGTTCCGCCCCGCTCCCGCCCCCGCCCTCGCCCCCGGGCTTGGCCACCTGCACGGGGTACTTGTGGTGGATTGTTGCCCTCGGGTCGCTCCGGGGCGGGGACACGGAAACGGGCCATGGAAGGTACGTCGGGGGCTCGCGAGCCCCGGTCCCGGCCGAGAGAGCGGGACCCAGACCGGCACCCCCGCCCGGACCGAGACCGCCATCCCGAGCGACAGCGGGACCGACCCGGGGACCGGCGGAGGGAGAGAAACGGCGGCGAGCGGAAGGACGGGGACCGGGACAGGGGGAGGGACCGAGGCCCTCGCCAGGACAGACACCGGGTCGGGGACCTTCGCGCCGGTGGACAAAGAGTTTGGGAAAAGTCCCACCAAAGCCGGACGCGGGACGGACCCCGGAGGCCGACCTGGGACGCAGCCCCGCCCCCCTGGCCCGCGCCTTGGGAAACCCCGGAGCCACCGATCCACAGGAAGGAGCGCTTCGCACCGGGTGGCCCGGCAAGGTGAGGTGGGGCTGCGGAACGCCCTGCGGCCTGGGCACCAGGAAAGCCTGGGTCTGAGACCCGCCCCCCCCAACGGAGCTGCTCCGGCGCCCCAGGCTCCGTGGCCTAGGAAGCCGGCTTCAAGGAAGAAAGTGCCGTTACCCCCTTTTGCGCTCTTAGAGGTGACCTGGGAGGGAAGGAAAACCTTACGGTGCCCCCACTTATCGATCCGAACCCGATTAACAAAGCGGAAACCACCCCTGTTAGCAGTGGCAGGGCCGGGGACCAAGTAAGGAAGGCGAGAGAACTTCAGGACCGGAAAGGGAAGGGGTGGGAAGGGGGTTAGGGAGGTGGGGTTAACCTGAGGCTCCTCCCTGACCTCCCCCCACCCCACCCCGACGTGCCCACAGGACTGCCCCGTGGAGCTTCAGATTTTTGTCCTGTGTTCCAAAACCGGCCTTCCAAAGTCCCGTCAGGGCCTAATAAGGTCAGGCCAATGAAGTGTTAATAGTTTAATCTGTAATCTCGCCTAGGGGTATATGCATTTCAAAACAGACAGCTGGGAGAAGCTACACTTTTAACCAAACAACTACGTCTACCTAAAACTCCCCCACTGAAGGGCAGAGATTGCCTACCGTTGTCACTGAAGTCTTTCTGGAGAGCCTCATTCAAATGCCCTGATTGTTTCAGATCCCACCTTCCTGAATGAACCAGCTGTGCTGTCCCTGCCTTGTAGAGCACAGAGAATTCCCGTAAGGCCTTGTGAGGTCAAAGCCTCATGCTGTTCCCGAAGGCTTAGGGAGCTAGGAGAGGGTAGGGATGGAAAGGAGGAGAGGAGGCAGTCAGTCCTAGACTCCACACCCCTGTCGGGAGTTGGTCTTTTTTCCATTCCATCCAGCTCCACAAATACTCCTGAATGACCAGATTATGTGCCAGGCCAACAAGGAGACAGGTACTGGGGTGATGACTGCCTTATAGTTTGGGACACCTGCCCCTTCTCTAAGGAAATGTCTGGCTCCTCTCTGCTGTAGGATTTGGAGGCTTAAGCTCAGTCTCCTTCCCTGTTGTGTCCACACAGCTGGAAAGCTGTTATCCTGAGCTTATGTTACATTATCTAAAACCAACTAGCCAAACTCTGACAAAGGTTGTGCCCAGACACAGGCACGAGCTGTTGTGCGTCCCTGACCGAAGCCAAATTGCATTCGTATCTCCTGAGCTGCATTTTGGGTTTCCTTATAAGCCAGTGTCCTGGTCCCCTCCCCCGGCCCCAAGGTGAGTGAAGGGAATACTTTAGATTTTTTGGCTCATAGCCAGTTGGTGGCTTGAAACCAAAGGATAATTTATTTCCACCTTTCCTCCACATAATAAGCTTTTATTTAATGGGCAGGATGGAGGGGGCCAGGGCTCTTAATGGGTGAGATCTACTGACCGTGTCCACAGTCTGGTAGAAGACTGACAGGTAAATGTGCAGGGGAAACAGATTTGGAGAGAACAGATCCCCTGCCTGAGATCTGGAAGATTTCCTGGAGGATACTGACTTCAGAGCTAAGTTTTGGAAAAGGAGCAAGAATGAGGGCACCTGAATGGCGTCTGTCTTGGCTCAGATCCTGATTCCAGGGTCCTGGGATAGAGCCCCACCACAGGCTTCCTGCTCACCGGGGAGCCTGCTTCTCCCTCTCCCTTTGCCCCTCCCCCGCTAGTGCGCTCTCACAAATAAAATCAAGAAAAGAAAAGAAAGAAAAGGAGCAAGAATGGGAAGACTGGGAGAGGAAATGAAAGGGGTTCCAAGCAGAGAAATAGCTTCCCCAGTGACCTAGAGCATGGGAGTGCAGGTCATCTTTTTGGGGGGCAGGGGGAGAGGAGCAGTTCACTATGGCTGGGTCTATGAGTGTGAGGTTGTGAGTGACGAGAGATGAGCAAGGGCCTTCTGTGCTGTGCTAAGTTTGGACTATATCCAAGGCCATGAAAGTTTAAGGATTTCAAACCCCAGAGATCCATAGTGAGAACACTGGAAGGATCCCTGGCGCCGAGCGGGTAGAATGCAGCCCCCACCATTGCATCCTGGACAAAGGTCAGGATATGCTGGATAAAGGGGGGGAAGGAAGGAAAGTGCCAGAACTAGCAGAGAAGAAGTAGAGATAGGAAAACATCCAGAGTTATCTGTATTACCCATATGCCTAGAGGATTATTGCAGATTCAGCCCTTTTCAAAGTAACAAGAAGGAAAAGAATACCAGCCTGGGCATCAGACTCTTATGCACGTAAACTAGCTTTAAAGAAGGGCTGGTCCGTGCTGAACTGAAAAGTTAGGCTCACAGAGGTGGCTCCAGGCTACCTGGTTAGGTAGCTCCCACAGCTGGGCAAACCAGCATCCAATCAGCGCTCAGAATTATAGGGATGTGCAGCATGGTGACTTTTAGCAGTGTTGCGCCAAGTGTTTGGATACCCTGTGGGCCACTATACCAGAGAATTCTCTGGAATAGGAAATGCTGCAGCAAAATTTGTTTCCGTTCTGCACGTCTCTTTAATGACAGCATGAGATGTTCAGAGTTCTAATACTGAACAAGGCATTGAGTTTGAAGACCCTAATGGCCATATATGTTTTCAGTTATAGTGAACCCACTTCAGGGAGATACCTGCCCTCGAATCCCAGGTCTGGACTAGAGAAAGTGGAATACTACCAGTCAGAGGCTGAAGGACTCCTGGAATGCCATAAATGCAAATACTTGTGCACTGGAAGAGGTGAGCCATTTGAGAGGCATTTTGACCATTTATGTTTGCTGATGGTTCTGGGGGAGTCTGAACTAGTGAAGCAAAAATTCAAGCAGACTTTCCTTTAGGGTTCCTAGCATTTTCATTTATAAAACTGCATGAGGTTCTCATTCTCCGCCCCCCCCCTAAAAATTGTAGGCACATCTGAAAGGTACACCTAGATTTCCAGTGCTTGTCTTCAAATGTCTGGCGAGGCGAGCAGCCATGCTTGCGGGTTTCAGGTTCCAGGTGGCACTGCAGGAAGAACCAGTTATGAGCTGCCGACTGTGGGAGGGCTGAGTTAGACACAGAAAGCCACCTGGAGGGGCAGCCTAGTAGCAGTTCATGCAACAGCATGTGTTAAAATTTGTTGACTGAGATCCACAGTAAGAAATATGTCTTACATGAAGACCCAAGTTCACACACATACACATGTTGTGAAACGGTACTTACCTTATTAGATACCAGCTACGTGGGTAATTTCTGTTCCACCCTGTCTCATTGAGAACAAACAAAAACAAAAACAAAAAAACAGTTATTAGAACGAGCACATTTGCAGAACACATAAATAATACCATGTGTCAGCTCCAAATGTGGTGCTCAGAGTTCCCATCCAAGCATTCGTCCTGGCCTTGCCAGCAATGAAGAAAATCTGGTTTGTCAGGGTGAGCCCTTGTGGCTCCCGTGATTTGGTGAGAGATTTTTTTTTTCTAGGCTGCATATGACTAAGGGGGGAAACTTCTCAGCCTAAGGGAGAGAAATCAAGGAACTTGTACCTGAAAATGTATCATAGGATGATTCCAGTAATGCACATGATTATGGGATTCTCTGGAACTTCCGTTAAAGAGCTCTAGGCAATGCAGGTACAGGAATCTGCACTCTGGTTTACATTTATTGGCACAACCGCATTGCTTCTAATTTGCTCAATGATTCCTGAAGCTCAGAGAGGTATAGTAAGACACCCAAAGCCACACAGCTGTTAACTTGAGAGAGCTGGAATGGAAACTCAGAGCCTAACTCTAAGGCCTGAAATGGTTTACTTGCTTGACCTTTCTTTTTTTTTTGCTTGATGACAAAAATAATAGTAATAAGCCAGAGGCTGAGTTAATAGGTTTCTCAGTAGAAGTATGTTTTCCATTGTGATTATTTTACCAAGAGGAGAGGGCAGACTTGAGCCTTCTGACCAAAACACACCTTGATTTAGCTTTGACTGCTTCTGGCTATTTGGCTTTGGACCTAGAGATCATTTCTGAGTCAAGGTAGTGAAAGGCTGGCTTAGCAGTCAGAAGCTGACCACCGAGGGCTTATAAAGAACTCTGGATATGCAGAGACCCACATCAGTACACAATACTTGGTGTTGTGTTGAGAGAAATAGCCATTGAACACCTGGAACTTGTCTCCAGCAGGAAATGCAGGCCTGGATAAAGGTCACCCAAAGATTTTCAGCCCTATCTTAAGAGTAGATCTTTTGTGACTTCTTTTCCTTACTGGTGAAATCATGTCCTCTTCCAGCAAACTGGTGGAAGGGGGAGGCAGCTATAGCCCTCTCTGACTTCCTAGGGAGACCCCGAAGTTTGGGCAGTGAGTCATGCTTTGCAAGTTCAGTGGAACAGTCTGGACACTGATGGAAAGAGATGGGTCCCAAATTCACTTATGAGCAAGTCCCCTGAGATACTAAAATCTTTAGGGGCTGAGACTAAAGATCAGATAAAAAGCAAATACAGCTGTCCCCATGTGCATATCAGGTCACCAGGGGATCCTGTGCGTGTGCAGGTTGTGCTCCTTTATTATTTGGGTGAGGAGTTGCAAGTTCCCTGGGAAGGAGGCGCATTTCCTGCTCCCCTCCTTGGCTGCCTGATTTGTTTGGAGCAGTTTCTTTTTTGTCTTTGTTCTTTCTGTCCCTCCTTCAGCTGGGTAATGCTCACATCGTGATATTTGCATTCAGCTTGTAGCCTGAATTACACAGCTCCCCAGCCCTCCTTATTCTTTCCTGGTTCTATTAAAGCTACAACAGGAACAAGGGGTTGTAGGGGCTCTGCCCTCCCCACACTGTATTAAGAAATATGTATATATATATAATTGTCCCCATACAGCAAGACATTGGGAAAACCCTAAATGTCCTTTACACTGGAATTATTTAAATTTATTGTGTTATTGTATACATCCTCTAAAAATATGAAGTAGATTTATATTTGCTGAGATAGAAAAAAAAGTTCATACTATATTCTTAAGTGAAAAAACGTGTTATAGAATAGTTATAGAATAGTAGGTAGAGTAGGACCCTGTTCTTCACGTAAAAGCAAATAGCAGCAAAAATGATGCATATATGACAAAAGTCCAGAAAAAAAAATAATGGTCACAGTGGTTGTATTTTTAAATAGTTGGATTTTCGGTGATTATTATATGTTTTTGTCTTTATTTTTTTACCAACAGTATATACTACTTTTATAATTAAAGACAACAATAAGGCTCTTTGCATTTTGGGGGGAAACTGAAGAGCGTAAAGACAATACTTGAGAGTATATCGTTCCGTTGGAGAGTGTGTAGGTGTAACACAGCTTCACACATAAACCACCCGGGCCCAGGAGGCACAAAATCTGGTTCTCTAAATACCAGGGAGCTGCTGACCGTCTACTCCGAGTCAGCTGACCTAGCAGGACTGTGGCAGCATATACAGTTTCCAGGTCAGAAACACCCAGCTTTATAGAATCCTGAGCAAAAGAAGCCACACACAAGAGTACTTAATTGTATGATTCCATTTACATGAAATTCTAGAAAGGCCAACCTAATTCCTAATGGTAGAAAGCAGATCAGTGATTGTCTGAGGAGGGTAAGGGATTGACCACAGATGTTCTCTTGGGAACTTTCTGGGCAGATAAAGATGTTCTGTATCTTGACTCCGATGATGTGGCATATGTGTTTGTCAAAACTCAACAAGCTCAACACTTAACATGGGTCATTTTGTCCCGTATCCATTATATCTCCATGAAGTTGATTTTAAGGAAAGCAGCCCAGTTTGGGCAGAGAAGCTGGACTTCTTTCCTTGTCCAAGACAAAGAAGCCAAGGGTCCCCGAGAGAACCTAGCCCTGCGACAATATCACAGCCCAGATTTGCTCTTTAGGGAAACTAAAGAAAACAAAGTTAAATTGTAAAACAGACTTACTGAGTTGAAATCCAAGAACAATGAAGCCAATTATGTTTCTTTAATTCAGTAAGCCTCGTGGGTTTAATTAACGTAATCTTTCCTGTTTCCAATATACATGAACCACGGTTAACATTTGGGTGTATAACTTACCTACTTCATTGTATTTTTTTAAGCTCTATGTTATTTCTTTCAAACTTGGAGAAGTTTCCTCTTTCAAACTGAAGCAAGCCACAAAACATATCTAAAGAGGAGATCACTCTTTCTTAGTCTCTTTGGCAGGGAAGGGCTGGGGCAGAGAATGTTCTCGCCTTCCATATAGGATGCCTTTCTTTCTGGTTGGGAGCTGGCCTGATTTCTCCCACCGTCTTCCTGCACCCCAGCAGGGGCAGGCTCTCTGGAGAGTTACTCTTTTTTGCTCTGAGTACCTCCGACAGCATTTCCAGAGCCCATCTCATGCCCCTCACGTAGCTGGGGCAGCTCGGGCCTCCCGGGGTGGAATACAGAGCCTGCGGTGGTGTGAGCTACCGCCGGGAAGAGGAGCACCGAGGTGGAAGTCTCCGAGGACAAAAGAGGAGCTCTCAAAATGGTAACACGCCCTTCTCTTGCAGCCTGCTGCCAGATGCTGGAGGTGCTGCTGAACTTGTTGATCCTGGCCTGCAGCTCTGTGTCTTACAGTTCCACAGGGGGCTACACGGGCATCACCAGCCTGGGGGGCATTTACTACTACCAGTTCGGAGGCGCTTTCAGTGGTTTCGAGGGCGCCGACGGGGAGAAAGCACAGCAGCTGGACGTCCAGTTCTACCAGCTGAAGCTGCCCACGGTCACTGTGGCTATGGCCTACGGCGGAGCGCTCACAGCCTTCTGCTGCCTCCTTGTCGTCCTGGGCGTCCTGCGGGTCCCGTGGCACTGCCCCCCGTGGCTGCTGATTGAAGCCTTGTTGGACACGCTCATCGCGGGGGCCTATGTCCCCGCTCTGTACTTTTACTTCCGCCACCTCTCGGCTGCCTATGCATCCCCGGTGTGCAGAGAGAGGGAGGCGCTGTACCAGAGCAAAGGGTACAGTGGCTTCAGCTGCAGTTTCCACGGGGGAGATATAGGAGCTGCCATCTTTGCTGCCCTGAGCATCGGGCTCTTTGCTCTGGGGGCTGTGCTGGCCATCCGGGGTTACCGGAAGGTCAGGAAGCTCAAAGAGAAGCCTGCAGAGATGTTGGAGTTTTAGGCTTTTTAAGCCGTCCTGCCACATGTCACGGTGGAGTTACTCTGAACCACTGTCTTTCACGGAATACTTGACCGTGGGCCAACGTCTGTATCCTGGGGAGAGCTCTGGGTTACACCGAGCGACGTTCTCTGAGGTAATGAGTTCTAGAGTCCTCTGTTGGTGAGTGAGGAGCCAGAATGATTGAAACAGAACAAAACTGGAGGTCAGGACCCACGAGGAGAAGGCACGAGTTGCAGCAATGCACTTTCTTGCACTTTCGATTAGCTCAAGGGAGATAACCAAGTGAGTCTGAAGATCCTTATCTTCAAAGTCCTCGGAAAGCCATATACACCGGAGACAACATTTCGGCTTGAACTTTTCTAAACACAACTGTCTTAAGCAGATGAGCCCCAAAGTTTTTCCACACTGAGGTCTCGGATCCTTCACTTCCTTAATGCTCTGGATGCAGGGTGTAGAGAAGCCGGGGAGACTGCCTGTAAGTTGGAGGTAGGCGTGGGCCGAACAAAGAGGAATCAGATTCATTCACTGGGTTGCAAAGAAGCTATTCTAACAAGACCCCCACAGTGACCTTGAAAACTCAGTAAGTGTTTTGTACCTCTTGTAAATGTACCATTGTATGAAAAATTAAACCCAACATCTGGAATTCAGGATCCATCCAGAATAAAAGAATGTAAAATCTTTCCCAATGGAAGAATGCTACTTTTGGCCAGACAACTTCATGGGTTCTTACTGCATGTTAAATTATGACTTCTGGAATATTACAATATATTCTTGGTACAAGTGAATATGTTCTTTACAGGAATCCAATAAAAGTCCAAAGAAAAATTTTAAGTTGGAGGTGATGCTTCTCTTTACAACATATTTTTAACAGGATTCCCTTAAATACAGGCAACTTGTCACATTTAAAAGGTGAGTTCCATTTGGGCTTAGAAAACAAAATAAATGCTTGTCTATGATTAGACAATGTCTTAAAGAATACATAAGAAAGCATGAAGAGAGTATTTGCTTCCAGAGAGGAGATCTTATTTTCCATTTTAGCATAACTTGACTGCACATCTCAGTTTTATTTTAGATAAATAAAAAAAATTTATTTTCTCCTCTCTTTGTTCACATTTACAGTGCAAAGGCAGAAGTAGATGTATAATTAAGCGGAGTATTACATGATCAGCCACAAAACCAGCCTCACAGAAAGACCCCATATATAACAAAAATCCCATGTCTGTTTTGGTCTCCACTTCCCTCTCCAGAGCCCTCTGCTCTCTTTCCGGAGACTCGTCCCATCCCACTGTCGAGATAGCTAGCTCTGGCAGTCACCCTTGTTGTCTTCTGAGGGCTGTGAATCTTTCTGCACTAACAGCAAGGTTAGAAACACATGAGCCTGGGGGCGCCTGGGTGGCTCAGTCGGTTAAGTGTCTGCCTTCAGCTCAGGTCATGATCTCAGGGTCCTGGGATCGAGCCCCCGCTCAGTGGAGAGTCTGCCTTTCCCTTTGCCCCTCCCCCTGCTTGTGTGTGCTCTCTCTCTCAAATAAAATCTTAAAAAAAGAAAAAAAAGGAAATACATGAGCCTGTTTGATATTAATAGCTAAGCCAGGCCAGGCCTGGCTGGTACTGTGATGATATTCAGTGGCCATATTCCTTCTGCAGACCCAATAGCACTGGACCCGGCAACAGACCATTATTGTTCTCCACTGTTATAGCCAGGGGGTAGTTGACAAGATCTAGATTTATTTCATTTCAGCCTGGCAGATACATGCATGGATTATGACTCCACTGTCCCAGAAGGAAGCGTTCAGCTTCCCCCATCTTATAGCAGGGCAGTGTTCCTGTCTCCCTTCGGTGGGTGAGACATTAACCTGTGTGTGGAAGGAAAACCAAGGCAGAGAAGAGTATTGGATGTGGGGTAAAACTGCTGCCCCTGAATTAGAGTGATGTTTGGGCCAATTCAGTGGCACTGCTACAGGAGGCAAGTGGCCAGTCCCTTACAGTGCCTGGGTGGAGAGTGGGCAGTTCTGATCTGATGCTATTTTCAGATTTAAATTAGAGGAATGTAGTTCCTCAACTGTCAAAGCCTTTGGCTGCTGTGTCCCGCGGACCTCCTAGGAATTTGTGTGGGCCCAGCAGGAGTTAGGACCAGCAAGCCCAGGAGCTGGTGCCTCAGTCTGTTAGAGAGACTGGTAGTTCACCGCCCCGTTTTTTGTTTTTAAAGATTTTATTTATTTATTTGACAGAGAGAGACACAGCGAGAAAGGGAACAGAAGCAGCGGGAGTGGGAGAGAGAAGCAGGCTTCCCGCGGAGCAGGGAGCCCGATGCGGGGCTCGATCCCAGGACGCTGGGATCATGACCTGAGCCGACGGCAGACGCTTAACAACTGAGCCACCCAGGCACTCCTCGCCGCCCCGTTTTTAAACGTTGTGGTACCCCCTAGTTTATTAGCAAGGCTTCCCGATTTCTGGGAATCCACACTTCTCATAATTTGTCTCATTTCTTAAATCTCTCACTAAGCCCCTTCCATTGTCTAAACGTTATTGAGTAGCGTCACCATCCGCTTGCATTAACATTTTATGATTTTCGGAAATCCTTACATGTACTTGCTTTCATCGGGGCCCTGTGGAGTAAGACAGGCAGGCACTACCTTCCTTTGTCAGATGAAGCGTGTGAGGCTTCGCGTCAGTGACTGGGGCAAGATCACCGGCAGCGAAGTGTGGGGACGTGAGCCTGGCGTTCCCACTCGAGGTTCATATGCTTTTTTCTTCGTTCTCTGAACCCTGGAGCATGATAGGAGACATTCTTCCAGAAGTATGCCTAAGCAGAGGCCAAGCTGACCTTGGACAAGAAGATATTCAGTGTCCAGTCACCTGTTGGTTCCTAAAACTCATCAGAAACCCCCAAGTGAACAGCCCACGTGTCTGACAGCTGAATAGACTGGTCAATCCACACAGTGGCGCCAGAGCCTTTGTAATGAGGTCTGTGGACCCTGTGGGAGCTGATCAGAAAACACCTCCAGGAATAGTAAATGAACAAGACTCAGAGCAGCGTGTGTTACGTATGTGTCCCGGTGAAAAAAAAAAGCAGGGAAGGGGGGAATGAAATGCAGATTTGAGGCTGCTTTTATTTGCATGAAGGAACACTGGAAAGTTTTATTAGGAAATAATGAAAGTGGGTGGGGGCAGAGCACAGGACGGACAGGGACAGGAGTGATTTTTCTCAGTGTATTCCTTTTTAGGTCATTTTATAGTTTTAAAAAAAACTTCAAAATTTGAAATAATTATAGATCCACGAAATGGTAACAAAACTAGGGCGGAGATCTTGCACGCCCTCCATCCCGTTTTCCCCAGTGCTCCCGGTGCTCCCATCTTGTGTAACCAGAGCGCGGCGCGGTCAGCAGGACACTGACGATGAAGAGCTGTAGATCTCACCAGCTCTACTGCACTCACGTCCGGGTGCGTGCGCACACTTCCGTGCCGTTCGGTCACGTGTACATTCACATCCCCACCACCATGATCAACTATAGAACTCTTCCATCCTCAGGCATCGCTAGGGCTCCCCCACGTCTCCCCATCCACTAACAACCATGGGTCTGGGCTCACTCTCCATAATTGTGTCATTTTGAGACTGTTACATAAATGGAATCACACAGTGTATAACCTTTGAGCCTGGCTTTCTTCTGCTTATCATAATTCCCCTGAGAGCCATCCAAGCAGTTGTGTGTCTCCGCAGCGCCTTCCCTTTGACCGCTGAGTCAAGTTTCCCCTGGTATAGATGTACCTTACTGCTAACCCCTCCTTGCCTGTGGAAGGACATCTGGGTTTCTGATAATGAGGCTATGACAGATAAAGCTCCTGTGAGCTTTCATGTACATGGTTTTGGATAGACTTTTAGTTTTTGTTTCTTTAGGATAACTGCTCTAGGAGTGCAGTTGCAGAGATACATGGTAAGTATAGGTTTCGTGGTTTTTTTTTTTGAAGAAACTGACAAAATTTTTTCCAGAGTGGCATTTTGTTTTTCGAACATACAAATATTAAAAAACAAAACAAACAAAAAACACAAAACTGGGGTGCCTGGCTGGCTCTGTCGGTAGGGTATACGGCTCTTGATCTCAGCGTCGTGAGTTCGAGCCCCACATTGGGCATGGAGCCTACTTAAACATCCATCCATCCACACATACATACACACATTTAAAAAACAAAAACCAAGGATGTTAATGTTGAATTGGACCATGTCCTTAAAACCAGGGCACCGGTGGAACTTCTCGAGTCTGACCTAGAGTTTTCCCGGGTGAGTGATGTCAGTGTTAAATCCCAAATCTCTCTCCTCCTAGGTGTGGTCCAGATAGTGGAGGTGATACTGAATGGGATGGTTCTCATGTGTGTCGTGGCCTCCTACTTTGTCCTTGCTGGGTTCACTTCGAGCTTTACCAGTGGTGGCGGCTTTGGGAACAACTACTACTCACCATTCGAGGGCACCGAGCTGGAGCAGGTTCGGCAGCTGGACCAGAAGTACACAGTGCTCCGGGCACCCCTGATCTACGGGGGGGTGGCAGTTTCTCTGGGTCTGGGTGTCCTCACTATGAGTGTCTTACTCCAAGGAGCCAAAAGCCTCACGGAACTGTCGGGGAAGTGGCTCCTCTTGGAGGCCGTCTTCAGCCTCCTGGCGGCGGTGAGCTACGGCGTGGGCATTGGCATTTACCTCCACGTGGCCTTGCAGATCAATTCCACAGACACCTGCAGAGCACGAGCAAGGCTCTATGCCCGCAAGGGTCTCACCTGGATGAACTGCCAACTGGCAGGCACGGATGGGGCGGCGGCCACCTTTGCCTGTCTCCTGGTGGTGATGTATGGCACCAGCGTGGTGCTGGCCCTGCGGAGCTACCGGCGACAGAAGCACTACAAAGAGAGCCAAGCACAGCACAGTGGCTACAGTGACGCGCCCGAATACCTGTGGTCGGGAACTCTCTGAGACCTTCTTCTGGAACCTAAAGGGCAATGCACCTCCTTTGTTT